CACACACACACATGGCCCCCACACACACACACACCAACACCACACATCACATACACACACCCACACACACACATATGATCATATTATAATATAGTATAATATATTTAATATTTTATTTAATATATACTATAGGTCACACACACACACACCACATACCACACATCAACACACACACACACACACACACACAATATACACACACACACACACCAACACACACACACACACACACACACCACACACACATCATATATATATATATGTAATAATATATATATACATATATGTATACATATATATCATATATTATATATATATACATATTATATAGCCTAGTAATATATATATATATATATACGTTATATATATATTATATATATGTATATACTACCGTACTTACAAATAGCTATATAGTATAAATAGTATTATATACCTATACTATACCGTGTGATGTAAGGGTGATACATATATAATACTATATACTATACTAATGTTAGTGAGAATATATTAAATATATGGTGTGGGTGTGGTGGTATATAATATTATAAGCTATAGCTTTATATATAATATATATACTCAATATACTTATATATATATATAATTACTTATCGCCTGTGTGTCTGTGTGTGTGGTGTGTGTGTGTGTGTGTATATATATATTAATATATACTATATATATATATTATATATTTTTAAATACTATATATATATATATATTTTATAATATATTTATATATATGTATATATATATATAATATACTATATGTAGTATATATATATTATATTACTATGGGTAGATAATAATTATATAGCACCTATATATATATATATAATAATGGTGTGTGTGTGTGTGTGGGCTGTGTGTGTGTGGGTGTGTGTGGTACGTGTGTGTGTGCGGGGCGGTGCGTGCCGTCGCGGTGCGTGTGTGTGTGTGTGTGTGTGGTGTGGTGTGTAGTGTGGTGTTGCCGCGTCGCGCACGCGGCGCCGCGCGTGTGTGTGTGGGTGTTGTAAATTATATATATATAGTATATGATATATATATATATATAATATATATTATATGATATGGTGTGTGTGTGTGTGTGTGTGGTGTGTGTGAGTGCTAGTGTGTATACATAAATAAATTAATGTACAAATTATAATAGAAATGAGAATATAGTATTATTATATACTATAGTATTATTATGTATATATATACGTGTATATATCATTTATATTATATATATATATATATATAATATAAATATATATATATATAGGGATATATATAATTATATAATATAATATATATATTATTTATATAATATATTATATATATGTTATATTTATAATTAAGGTGGGTGTGCTGTGTGTGTGTTGTATGTATGTGTTGTGGTATATATGTATATATATATATATATAAGAACTATATATATATATAATACTATATATATTAATATATATATATATTATATATATATATCTTATACCACACACACGCACACAATCCTGAGACACCGCGGCGGGCAGCACGCACACAATCACATGTCCACACACACCACACACACACGCACCACATTGGGACACACATCACACACACACACACAGGAGCACACACACATCACACGACACATATATATAGTGATATATAATATATACACCCATATATAGCAACACATATACTATATATGTATACTATCTATATAGACATTACACATATTACCACTTGGGTACATTAAACAAATATCATCACACACACTACTGATCATCATCATGTTTTCACATCACTACCACACACACATGTGCTGTATTGCACAGACACAATCACACACGCACGATATGATATATATATATATATTAACTAGTAATATACTAATATTATAGTGAAGAAAGGCTATGTATCTATATACCATTCATATATTATTATATATAATATTCATCTATCACTACATATGTATATAATATATAATGGTATATTACTATATAGATATGTATAGTGAAAATTGCGATGTATATGTACCTGAATGTGGTATAATATTTGAGTATATATTATTATAATATATATAGGCCAATATATAGATGAGTTTGATATATATGTACTTTAGTCATATATATATAATATAAGTATAATATGATATTATATATATATATAATAATATATATATATATATACATATAGTATAATACATTGTATACACCAACATATATACACACATATATACTAACATATACATACATACACACACACATGGTTAACATATATTCATACCATACATATATATATATATATATATATATATATATATATATATAATATATATATATATACATATATACTATATATATATATATATATATAATATATATTATATATATATATATATATATATATATATATATATATATATATATATATATATATAATATATACATTATATATATATATACATATATATTATATATATATAATATATATATATATATATATATATATATATTATATATATCATTATATTCATATAATATATATATAATATTATATATATATATATATATATATATATATATAGGCATATATATATATTTATATTATATATATATATATATATATATATATATATTTTATATATATATATATATATATATGGTATATATATATTCATATATATATATAATATATATTCTTGGCATATTTTTTCGAGAAACGAAGGAAGGCAAAGCTGCCTCTTCCCTCCGCCTCCCTCGCTCCTCGCACGTCGACACCGCGTCGCTCAAGCCCAGTCCATAGGCCGAGTTCCTGCTGCTTGTTGTATTTTTATTAATTTCCTTAATTTGGGCGCGCGTGGGTGCAGAGGCCCTAAAAAGGTGTATAGATTGAATCAAATGCTAATTGGTCGAGGTGCCGGAGGTCAGGTCACGTGGAAGAGAAGGTCAGAATGAGGAAGGGGATAAATATCTGTATAAGGAGATTCACAAGGCCTCGTTTGTTACGTTGTCTCGCGCCCCGGGTGCATTCGAACGGAAGCGCAAGTCGGCAAGAAATAAGTCTATCGTTACGTCATGCATATTGTTTATATATCATTTTATATTAAAAATATATACCCTGGTTAATATATGAGGATTAAGCGAATTAAGGGGATCTTGGGAAATAAAAGTGTGTTTAAAGGGAGACTCGAATGCACCGGAGCGAGGAGTAGCGGGCTGCGAAGGTGTGCGGCTGGACCGGTCAGATACCAGCTCCCCGCCCGAGGTCACCATAGTGACTGTGACGTCACGCGTAACCCTCCTATAGCCACCACTCGACACATTCATCTCAGCCAATCAGAGGCGGCTCACGGCGATCTTCCATACTGTCACAAAGACGGTAAGTTATTGCTGCCTCCCCAGCGGCTGCCTCCCTCAGGGTCCCATGGAGACAGGACACCCACGAATTTCTCTTCTTATTTTGTTTCCGTCCATGAGTAGCCCCGCCCGCTGGTCATTCCCCCGACGAGGTAAAAGTAGCGGAGAAGTGGAAGGCGCCGATCCCAGGTCACCCGGGACTCGCTGGCGGGGCGGGCGGAGGAGGGGCCAGGTGGCGGCCGCGAGCGAGCCCCACTTCCCGCCCGCCAGCAGCAGCAGCCTACGCCGGGGTCTCGCGCACGCAACGCCGCACAGCACCTTGTTTATTTCTTTGTTTGCCGAGGCCGCCAGCGCCGCTCTCCGACCGCGAGGACGAGGAATGCCTTCGAGAGGACATTTCCAGGGAGAGGGAAGGAGAGAGGACCTGGAGCCAGAGAGGGGGCGGCGCGGGCGGCCAGGTGGACGCGCCGGGGCTCCGTCGGTCGGGAATGTATCTAAATTCCAAAAAAATGAGTCACACGAACGGCCAACGTCCGGCGGTGCGCAGCGGCCTTCCACCTGTCGTCACGGCGCACACGTTAGGGCTACTTGGCCAGGTTCTCAGCACATGAAATTCGATCTTATGACCTGTGAACCTGGCACTGTTTTCCCGCGGATTGAAAAAGCGTGTCAGTAGTTCGCATGCCTGACCAAATTATTAATATTCCCTCTTAGACGATTGTAATACAAATGCATCCGGCCACGAAAAGCAAAAAAAAAAAAAGGAAATTTACAACACAATTTGGGTTCTAATGCCATATCAGATATAAACACAAGATCGGATTTCATCTCGGTGCATAGGCAGCCCATTTTCTCAGCCTTATTTCTGGCCAGCGAATCCGCCCTGCCTTCCATCCACGCCCGAGACGCCATCGCAAAAGGGCTTAGCATTTCCCCAAGACATTTCCCTCCGCGCCTAAGACGTCCCACACGACGTAAAATTCGAAGGGAAATCGGGCTTCCGCGGCGTGTGGCAGCCCCGACCACCTGAGGTTAGGAGTGAAGGATACCCAGAAATACCATATCACTCGTTTTCTTTGACAAAAGCCTCTTCCACGGCGTTCTTTCGCAGGAAGGAGAAGGAGGAGAGAGAGGGAGAGAAGAAGGAGAAGAAAGTAAACAAACTAAACGGAATTTAGTTTCCATTTTCCCCGTTTTTTAAATTTTTTATTATCGTTTTACATTATTCAAGTACGTAAGACCAAACAATACGGACTTGTAAGGTAAAGAATTTCAGTGATTGCGGGATATTTACAGTAAGGGTATTGGTACACACGGTGGTGGTGACTGTAACTGTGAACGTAATGGTGGTTTTAATAAGCAAACGTAAATTGTGACATTAACGTGATCGTACAAGCTATGACGTCACTGCGATGATGAAAATAGGTTCTTGTGATGGTGAGAAAAAAAAAAATAACGACGGGTTTCGAAAGAGAGCGGTCTTTGCGTATAGTGAAGGCGGTGATGATGGTGATGAAAGTGTTGCCAACAAGAAAGAAGATGGATAAAAATGATGTGGGATGCTACTGGTGACGAAAGCTGGTGGTGGCGGAGGTGGTGGAAGTCGCGACGGGAGGTGGAGGAGGAAATGGAGGAGAGAGGAGGAGGAGGAGAGAGGAGAGAGGTGGAGGAGGAGGAGGAGGAGGAAGGAGGATGGTGGCGG